ATTACAGGTAAAATGAAGCTAAAAAGGAGATGAAATACTCTAGGTTGACATGATGGAACTCTGCTGAAACACAAATAAAAATACAAGAGCTTCTGAAGACAAACCATCTGTTTTGTCAGCTGGAGCTGGAATAGATGGCCTCATCACATTGTCTTTTATTGATTTCTGCAGAATAGCTACCTGGATATTTGGAAGAATGATAGGAAGGTTTCTGATATAACATGGCTTGGAGGGAATTTCATATGCTTCTCTAATTTTGAAAATTTTTTATATTGGGGTTTGCTGATTAATTGGCCTCGTTCCATTCAAATGGTGTGTGGATGCTCAGCAAAGTAACTGACTACATGTGCTGACTATTCCATGACTACTGACATGTACTATGAAAGATATTTTCATAGAATAAATAGTTCACAGCAGAGAGCTTGCAGATAACTTTCTTTTTAACATTCAGCAATTCTTATTAATAGTTTTCAGGTTGTTGAGCCAATATATTGAGATTTTATATTTGTAACTTCATTGCAAATTGAGAGAGTATACAGTACAAAGTCCAAGATCTGAACTCATCAGGACTTCAGCGATATCCGGATTTGGGATTTTTCCTGATATAAGATTATCAGTTTAAAACTTGTAAGATGACATGTACAAATTATAAAATTAAAACTATGAAATCATGATTTATGAAATAATGAAGTATTTATAATTATAAAGGATAACAAAATTTACAAAAAGAAAAAGCTTAATATTTATTTGTTTACTTTATTAAACATTTCTTTCAATATAAGTTGTTTAAGTTGCATTTTTTGCACTAATATTTTATCTTTAATTCTGTAGACAGACATTATTTCTTATTCAGTTACAAAGTGCCATTGTTCAAGTCCTATAATTGATGTGTTGAGAATTCCGACTAAGTTGCTCATCGAAATTTTTTCATTTTCAATAACCTCTCTGCCATGTTCTTCACTATCAGTAGCGGTATTTTCTGGATCTAGAACCATACTACAGGTTTTGCTGACCATTAACTCACTGATAATTGGAGCATTGCCATCGCAATGAAAAACTTATGCTATATCGTCTTCATTTATTATCGCTTCTCCACATTTCTTAAAATAAATCCATTAATTGGAAAATTTAAGCTTTGGTTTGCGATATCCGAAAACCTTCACATTTGAGGTTATCATCCTCACTGTGACCATAAATTATGCCAAGTATTTTTTAAAGTATCTGGAGACGCATCCTCCCACAATTTTGCGATGCTCCACAAAGCAGATTTTATGCTAAAATATTTTAAAATTCTTTAATATTCTTGACATTATTCAAGAAATTTAAAGTAGATTTTAAAAATTCTACTTTATATTTGCATTTCAGCATGCACACTATTTTGATATCCATTAGCTGAATGATGGACATACAATTTGAAGAGGAAAATAATACGGATATATTATCTTTCAATAAAACATTAAGTATGAGTCGAATAGTTGTCTACAACCAGGACAATTTTTGCGTCATCAGGTAAACTAAAAGAATTCTGTTGAGCCTAGGGTATGAAATGATTTTCAAGCCAATCCTTCTTTAACACCTGTGTCATCCATGTTCTTTTGTTTGTACGATATACAACGGGAAACTTTACTCCTTTAAATGTTGGAAGTCATGTATTTTTTCCAACTACGAAAATTTTACTCTTGCGTGTTCCTGCAGCATTTGTGCAACGCTAAAATTGTTAGTCTCCCTTTGGAACCTTGACATGAGTTGGAGCCTCTTCTGTAGGTTTTGCCAAGGTATTTTGCAGTACATATTGCCAGAAAAGACCAGTTTCATCAGCAATGTAAATTTGTTCTGAAGATAGCTTTTAGCTATTAATGAGTTCAATGAGCTCATCTGCAAATAGTTCAGCAGCTTAGTATCAGCTGAAGCTTTTTCACCTGAAATTCTTATTTGCCTTACACCATGGCAATTTTTAAATTTTGTTAACCAACCTGTCGAATACGTACAATCAGTTCTTAAGTTAATTTCTTAGTAAAATGAAATATTTTAGCTTGAGCCATTAGCATTTGACCAGTCAATGGCACGCCTTAGCTGTGATGCTGTCTGACCCCTTCAGTCATCGCTTTGTCATGATCTTCACTTGCCACCCAGACATTCATAGCCACTAATGTAAATTGGATGCTATTAAGCTAAACTAAAATTATATTTTACTGATTCCAAAGAATTTCAGATTGCACTGTTCCTTAACTTTCTGATTGGATCCAGTATAATTATTTTTTGCAGGCTGTTTTTATTACAGCAATTTATTACAGTGTTAAAAAAATTAAAGTTTCAACTTTCGGTTATCTCGAAAAAAGAATTCTAGAGGTGCAACAGGATCTACAAAGCGAAAGCATGCTTCAATGTCCATTGCGGAACTGCTGCTGGGTGTATCTCATATTTCTCATATCATCTCATTTTCCGAATGTTAAATTTTTCAAAAATACAAAGATAAAATTGATGCCCTATCTTTCGCAAATCAAGTTCCTGTGAAGATGCTATCAAGGCAAACTTATACCTATGGTATTCAAGAAAAACAACCAAGATTTCAATGGTCGCAAGAAAATGCTACTATGTTAAAAGGTACTTTTTCAAAGTAACACAGCGAACTACAAGTATTCTTAGAGCTGCAGCAGCCAAATTGGAATTAAAAGCCTATATTTTGGATGATGAATTAAATACGAGGACTTCATTTCTCATATTCGACAGACTCTTAACCATCTGACTGTTCAATTTTTTGTTTTTAACAAAATTGCATATTTTTTTAATTATACATCTCAATTTTCCATGTATTTGAAAGTTAAAATATGTAGCACATTTTTGTAACCAAGATTTTTTTAGTATAGATTTCGTTCATAAGAACAGGCTTTGATAAAAATCAATTTTAGAAGTAAAAAAACATATGATGTTTGATATTTGATTTACCAAACATTTTTGTCCATCTGTTAAATGCTACTGTGAGTTTATAAAATCTAAAGTTTTACTTCTCCCTAATAATGCTCAAAGACATCCAAAGCATTTGTCTGACTTAGCAATGTGATTCCATAAGAAATGGTTTTCTTGCTGTCAAACAATATTTTATTAATCCAACCAAGGTATAATATCAAATTTTAAAACTTATCTGTGGTGGATATTCCAACAACTGACCGATAAACAATCCATTACAAATTTTTAGAAAAATTACAATATCATGGATACTGTTAAGAACATCAATTTTTTTCGGAATGAAATGACCGAGAAATGTTTGAAAGCATATATGGCTGGAATTAAGCAACAATGTTGATACAAGAAAATCCATTGTTGATGTTGACAGTATTGTCAAACTAACTAATGAAAGAGGGTTGAATAATGTAAATGCAAAATATTGATGAACTGAGGAGTAAAAGGATTATTTTTTCTTTAAAGAAAAGTTCAGTCACTATAACAAAAATTATGGATAATTTATGCAAAATGGCTTATATTTTGATAAAAAGTTCAAAGGCAAGGCAAAGTGTCACTGATGCACTGTGACAATGCTAGATCATATCTTCACAACAACAACAAAAGGAGAGAGTCTAACCAGGAAGAAACAAAGACATAATTTCTTTACTCAATTTTCTTTTCTTTTTTTTTAAAATTTTCATAAATGCTTTTATGAATAAAAATCAGCATTATAAAAAAAAAAAAAAAAAAAAAAAAAAGAAGGGAAGGTCTATAACTAAAACAGTACTTAACAATAAATGCTACAAAAAGTGATAAATTTCTTTATTCTCTTTTCTGTTTCACTTATCCCCATTATTTAAGTGTTAAGATGGAGTTGTTTAATGCTGTTTTATTTAGCGCTGAAACTTATTGGAATGCATTCCCCACTTTAAGCAGGATCTTACCAGTTTCTTGATCTTATAATTTTTCTTTTTTAAAATGGCAAAATTTTTGTCATCTCATTTCATTTTTAATGCTTTCAGCTCTGAAAATGAAGCCATATTAAATATGGTGATGCTCCACATTTTTAGAAATCTCTTCAAAGGGTAAAATGACTGCAAATAACTCCTGTATGGAATTTTGACCTTATTAAGATTATACAAATATTTCTGCTGCTTCTCAAAATATGGTTTTGAATGTGCATCAGGTCTACAATATGTCAGGATAATCAATACAGATTATATTGAAAAATGCAGTTTCAATATTAATCTGAAGAAATGTACTTTGATTATCAGTATAAAGATCTATCTATCACCCAGATCAATTTATCTGTGAAACAAAACCAAAGAGTGCCATTTATGTTCTAAGATTTTTTTTCTAATTACATTTAAAAAATCTAGTACAACTGCACTATCAGGGTCTAGCAATTTTCCAATTATACTTGAGAAACAGTATGGTCAAGGCATGAATAACTTAAAGGCTAAAAACAGAGTTAAGGAAAGGTTGCTCTAGCACATTTATTAAAATTACTCATCAGACAAGCTAATGCTTTTAAGTTTGAAGAATGTCAACAGCTCAAGTTATATCAGATAATATCTTAAGTACCTCTATAACCTCAATACCGATACAATGACTATCCCCTTGTAATGCCAGATAATAGTATAGCCAGCTCTTAGTTAACAGCCATAGTTGGAACAGTCTACTGATATAAGTATTTGAGTGAGGTAACAGAAAACTGTAATACCAACAGCAACACGTCCTACACTTAATTAATAAGTAAATTTAAAAGAAATATCATTTTCCTGATTTTGAAATTCTCAACCAATAAAGCCAAAATGAAATACATAAAAAACAGTTACTTTTAAGCGCTGTAACTTAAAACCATACAGTCTATGTTCACAAAAGTATTTAAATTAAATTGTGACATATTATTAAACATAATATATATTTCATACAAATTTTCATTACAATAAAGGAGGGTGTAGAGAGAAAGGGAGAAATAATCATGCTAATTTCAATGATAAAACAAATTAAGAATTACAGTAATTTAAATGGAAAGGAAAATGAAAATTTTTTACTTGTGCAAGTAATCTGTAAATATACACTGGTTTAATTTGGCCAAATCTATACACTCTAAAAATAGCTTGAACATCATGAGAAGGATTCCATGAAGCATCTAAAATCACAACTCTGTTTGCACCAATCAGATTAGTACCCAATGATCCAGCTTTAGTAGATATAAGGAACAGACGAGCTCTAGAGTAATGCACAGAAATTTTTGAATGGATAAATAAAGTTAACATATTTGGTGTTTAAATGTGCACAAAACATTATAGACAAGAACACATAATATCAAACACATAAAAAAAAAGTCAGTTTCAAAATCAATTAATTACATTGAATCTCTACAAGATGATACAATAATCTTTTATGAAGGTCAGTCATCTTCGAAAAGATGACAACCAACATGGTTCAATGTCATTATTTATCACTATTCTCAGAATTAGAGATTCTTGCTGAGGTGGCCCATCTTAGAAAGCATAAGAGGTTTTATACATCGTCAATTTGAATTATAATCTTTTCTATTTCAGTCTTTTGACATTAATTAAAGAAAAATATTGAAATTTGGTACACAGGTTTGTTAATAAATTAGAAATTAACTGCAGAAAAATAAAATAATGTTGCAATAAAGCAAAAGTTGAGGAAAAGTTTACCATAATTTTATGAAATTATTTAATACTTCTCAAAATCTTGAGAAAAGTTTACTTTATTTTCTGAAACAAAAAATGTATTCTACTGGCACAGCCAAAAAAAGGAAAAAGTCCTAAAATCTTTTATTATATATTTTGCTTAAAAAAAAAAATTTTTTTTTTTTGCTCATAAAAATATGCGTGTATTGAAATGACCCAATCTGATGTGGTCTTTTTATTAATCAATTCCATCAACCACTATATTATAGCCTGTTTTACTTAATGCAGAACTAAGAGCTTCAGTTATGGAGACAGTTGCCTTTTTCCTACCTTCCTCCAGCAAAAGGACCTTTTGCTTCTTAGAATTAGATGGGTCACCCAGATGGGAAAGTGGTTAGAGAAGTTGACTGCTGTAATGAAAGGCCCGAATTCAAATCCCACAGAAGGCATGAATGTTTGTAAATGTATAGTATTTGTGCGGCATGGTGGCACACAAATATGTAGCAAGCCAAAAGACCCTTGAATCTGCCTCTCTCAAAATTAGGGCAGAACTCTCACCTGTTTGGTGCTCAAAGCTCTGGCCATTCACAGACGCAATCCTTTACTTCTTGGCATAATAATAATTCATCGGCTTGTGCTGCTTACATCACACATGTGATATTAATAACAACAGAAACAGAATTAGAATCAATAGCAATCATCGTTCTAATCTGTTTTCAGAGTGCACACAGTCGACTTAGAAATAAATATACTGGTTTGCAATGCAGTCAAAAATGAAAATGTACTGTCTTTGATGGCATCTGAATATTGATTTGTGATGTTACCAGCTACACACAGAGTAAATATAAAATTTATACAAATATGTTAGGAATTTATGATGGACTATACAAACGGTACTATATAGTATTTGCTGAATTACCTACATGATAAATAATATTACCCAGGAAGAAAATAAAATAAATGATTAAAATTAATAACTGTGATCCATAAAAAGAGTTTCACTGTTACAATAAGAACTGGAAACATAACTTCCGAGATTTGTTGAACACATAAAATATTTTAGTTTGATGCCAAAAATAAAACATTTTGAAGGTTACCATTATATGCATTTGATGATTACAGTCCAAGTAGGAAGAGGTATCTTATATTATTATAATTGTCAACACGGACATTTCTGCATGCTTTCAGAAATAGTGGTAACTTTAAATCCTTTCGGGATGGATGTCTCATATTTGCATTGGTTCTCAACTGTATCACACAGCCAGATGTAAATCACCATTTAAATGCAGTGTAAGGATGGAAGTCCCACATATGAATTTTTAAACAGAATGTTTAATTAGTATTTTTTTTGTCAATAGATGTAGCTGTATATCTGTTATGGCAGAATTTATCGAGAGTGTAGTATACTGACCTTTATTCCATTGCAATATTTTTAACTTTTAGTATTTAGTTTCAGAATCAAAGCGGAAATCATGGGTTGAATAATGTAAATAAGCAGAGCTGACTATTAACTGCATTAACTGATATAAACACATGGGCAAGACTTCATGCTTCAGAACACTTTTCTTTCTGGCATTATGGGAATACATGTCCTATCATTTAAGAGGTTTTATCCATTCCTCTTACAGTATGGCTAGCACTGAGGTGAATATTTTGTATATTGTTCAGTGAAAATCTTTTATACTTCCAATTGCAAGGAAAATATAATGATAAAGCTTTCATATTAATTTTGACAAGCACCTGAATTTTTCTCTTATACAGAGGCTCTTTACACGTTTTTTAGACAATTTTCATTCTATTTGCAGAAAAATTTTACCTAAAATGTTTCAAGCTTTCTGTTTAATAATCCTTATTCTTCATTATCTTTCGACATCACAATTTCAAAAACAATAGAGCTTTTTATGGTATCAGAATAGTTATTTTATCTCATTCCTCTTGAACAACTTTCCAAAGTCCAAGGAGGGCTGTAGGTTGACGTTGGAGGACAACCTGCATTTTAAGAATCCAAAAGTGCAAAAATCCATGGGAATATTAAGTGTCATCAGAACCCATCATAATATCCATCAGAATATTAAGTAAGGATATGAGTGAAGGGTAGGGGCTTGATACCCCTTTCCTGTTCCATTTTTTTCACAGGATATTAACAGTGGATTTTGATGCATGGCTGCCTGCTTTGTCTTGACGCAGTTCTACTGCTTGATGATATTGTGGCTAAAGAGAAGTTATTTCATGTTTGAAAACTGGGTATCAGATATGTTCCTGATAATATGTGTAATTGATCTTGACATTTTTCTCCGCTCTCTTTATTTTTAGTTTGCCATTATATGAAATACCAGCAATCATCATGAATCCTTTTGAAAAACTTTAGATTCTTTGAACCACGTTTTAAATTTTTCCCTCTTCTTTGATGATAATAAGGGATCTCTTTTTATTGCAGTCATTTAATTACACACAAGATTCATCTATTATTATAACAACATTTTGCCATTTTTGCTTAGATATCTTAGATATGTTTCTTATAAAAGATTCTGCAGCGCATTCTGCAATATGTCACAGAAAAAGACGACACGCATTATGTTTTTTCATCTTTTTAAGATTAAAATCAGCATTAATCACTTTGTTTACAGTTGACATTCAGCAATTTAATGATTTTGCTACTGTCCTTTGACTTGCAGAGTTTCTTTTAATATTAAAGATCCAAATTTTGCAAAATTTGGAACATCCAGTTTTTTCATTGGATATGTATTTGGAACAATTCTTCCACTTGAGGCCAAAACAAACAAAACATTTTAAAACTTTCTTTTGGACAAAATTATCTATCGTTGCTTTAGACACCGAAAGATCGTGGCTTCCACAAGATTTTTTAATAATTAAATGCAAATAATTTTTTTCAGAAAGAGCACAAACATAGTCTTCCGTCCACTGTTAGAAGTGCCATTTTGCACGAAAACAAAATTAACAAATAGCAGATCGTATCATAGCAATTTTTTCAAAAAATTTCCATGCAAGCGATTTTTTTTTTTTTTTAATTAACAAAACAAAGTCATCTAAAAATGTGCGAACAGCCTCTGTAATGTGTTCAAAATTGGAAAAACTACATTACAAAATTTAATTTATGTGAATCTTTTTCCCAAAGCCTAGCAGCATAAACTGCCCATACCAACAAGACAATGCATCCTGTCAGCGGCCCGTCCCAAGAGAATGGTTCAGTGACTGAGGCACCCATCTCAAAAGGGTTCAGTCAGTCGCCCGCAGGAGCTGATCTTCAAGAGTGTACTAGTAACTCATTTCATGATTATATTAAATACTTCTATTACTTCTTCCTCTAAAAAAATATACTAAGAATACATTAAAATATGATTTTAAACTTTTTGTGATTCTTTATAATATAATGCTTTAAACCAGGTATACCTAACATGTAGCTCAAGAGAACTTTTGATGTGGCTCACACAGCACATCTGGTTCTTTCTCAGTTTTATGAAGTTAAGCAGCAAAAGGGGAAAGGGAAAGTTGAATTCAAACTATGTTACACACTAAAAGATGCAGCAAACATGTTATTTTACACTAGACCCTAGTGCATAAATATTGCTCTCAATATAATATATGAATACTGATGTCAAGGTTGGTTGCTTCAGCCTGAACAAAATGCTGTAGTTTTATGTGACGGTTCTAATGAGTACATCTGCCACACAATAACTAATTATTTTACAGTACCACCCTCAGTAACTTGGCAGCGAAGACAAAAATGAATTATCAAAGTTGTGCGCAAAGTAGCTGATTTGGCAGTTTCATACAGGTATAAAATTTGCTTCTTCTGTGTATGGTAATCACAAGTTGTAATAGATATTGATTATCCAAATAATGTCATCTGTAAGCACTGATAGATGGCACTGTAAGAAAGCCACCATTAGAGATACAAAGTTGTGAGGTGAGAAAGAGACAAAAGAACGTGAACGAATGTAATAGCAATGCGTTGATTTGCAGCATACAGCTGGATGTAAATGTGTAAATAATTAATTCATTAATAAACCTAGTTTAATAATAGTGTGTGCCATTCTAACAAGTAAAACTAGGTCACCAGATAACATTTTCAGAAGAGGGATTAATATCTACCAAATGAGTACCTATTACCCTCACGCACTATAAGCGTTGAAGAAAAAGTACGTTTTGATTTGAAATTTGAATGCTTTCTTAAAGTGTAGAATATTTACATTGAATTATTTATAACAATATTAAGAGTAAAGAATTATATTTTTAGTTATTATCATGGATGAGAATGTTAAGAAAGCTTTAGATAACATGAAAATGAAATCCAAAATCTTAAGAAAGTCAACACCATAAGTAATTAACAGAATATCTGAATTAATGGAACAAGATATTGTAGATATAAGATCATTGGAAGAATGTGAGATGAATCTAGAAAAAAAATGAGAAAAAATATTTGAGTTAGATCTAGAAATTGAAAATTTAATTCCTGAAGTATTAGACCTCAAAACGGAAATTGAGAATAATCAGGAATATAGAGAAAGGATTATTTGTGACAAGATATAAGTCAAGAATTATCTG